ATATATATGCATGTATGTATGTATGTATGTATGTATGTATCTATTTACATATGTATATAGGTATGTAGGTATGTGTGTATGTATGTATGTATGTATGCATGTTTGTAGCCATGAGCGTTCAATGTGTAGTTCATGAAGTAAACTACGATTGAAAACATTCCCAGAGTATAGTTGTTTCACATCTCCTTTTACTTGCACGTTTAGAACATACTAGAAGAGTATAGGCTAAAACCCTAAACCCTATATCAAGGAACAACAATACCGCACACAAGTGGTGTGCGCCAATTGTGGGCGAGCGAATATACAATCAATGTTAAGCAAATACGTTTGCCACACTAGCAGACGCCCACGAATACTTTTGCGATAATTTACAACTTTTGATTCAGTGGCTTGAAGTGACGGATATATGAGCTAGACACTTTGTGTGGGCACGTACATGCCATGATAAACCCTAAACTTTAAAACACTTTGTGTAGGCACGTACATACCATGCTTGATAAATCCTCTACTGTATTGATACTCCGCAACTCTCTGATATTTCCCATTTCAGGTTGGTCGTCCTTTGCCGTTTTAAGGTGTAAGCCTTCCACTGTGATATCTTTTTCTCGCTGACCTGTGTAATAGTATATTTCGAATTACACACTTGCTTACGAGGAGTACGTCTGTCGGAAACCATGACAACACTCGTGTACAAATCAATGCGCCAGTCGAGTGTTGAATGGTCTACCCGGTGTCGGTTTCGAACATACTGGAACCCTAAGACCCTAAATCCCTAAATCCCTGACAACCCTAATCGATTCCGCGACAAATTCCCATGTACCCACGTACCCTTCGTAAACAAGGGAACACTCATGACTAGATATACTAAAGCAGAGGGATGACTAGACATACTGAACCAGAGGAATGACTAGACATACTGAAGCAGCGGAATGACTAGACATACTGAACCAGAGGAATGACTAGACATACTGAAGCAGAGGGTAACTAGACACACTGAAGCCTGAAGCAGAGGAATGACTAGACATGTTGAACCAGAGAGGTAACTAGATATACTTAATTAGAGGAATGACTAGACATACTGAACCAGAGGAATAACTAGACATACTGAAGCAGAGGAATGACTAGACATACTGAAGCAGAGGAATGACTAGACATTCTGAAGAGAGGAATGACTAGACATACTGAACCAGAGGGATGACTAGACATACTGAACCAGAGGAATGACTAGACATACTGAACCAGAGGAATGACTAGACATACTGAAGCAGAGGGATGACAATGGCGACCGATGCCAATTCCTGAGCTCCAGAGGCGTCCAGCCAATCCTATAGAAAGGCGGCTGCAGCACACGAGCGCACTGAGCATGTTCCTTTCGATGCACAATATCAGGAGGTCTGACGAAGCACTTGTCGTTCGATAGGTTGTACATATCATGACCGGCTTTGCCGCTCCCATCTGAATTCAACTCCAGCTGTGAAATAGCAAATCGAAATGGGTCTATGATATGGTTGTAAGAGTCATGAGTAAATGTAGTGTAAGCGTCATGGGTAATCTAAGAGAAGATAGCCACCATGCCCAATGTGTTTGTAATTCGATGAAAGGAACTCCAAAATTATATCTTTTGAAAAGGACAGAATCGAAGCTCCTCGACAACTCAGAGCTTCACTGTGTGTGACTTCATCAACATTCAGGGTGCAGCTCTATCTGGCTATAAACCCAACGAACGCCCTTTAAGCCAGGGATATTGGTAGTGTATGTTCACAAGTGGGCATATTATATAAGCCATTAAACCCGTATATAAAGCATCAGCTAACCCACAGACCCATTTGATGCACACGTACCTGCGCTTGCCTTCTCATCCCTCCACAGCTGTCCCCTTCCGAACCTTCGATGACGTCGTCGAATATCAGAAATCGATCGTTCATATCCAATACGACAGGGAAGTCCTTCTCCGCGGCAGTAGGGCCGTTGGTGCAGCCGTAGTCCTCCCATATCACATCGTCTTCCCACAGGTCATACCACAGACTCTGCCGAATGGGTGACAGCACATGAACGGCTGCGTGCTCATGGTTTGTGTCTACCGCAGAATCCACCGCCGTAGACTCGCAGCTGTGTGTGTGTGTGTGTGTGTGTGTGTGTGTCTGCGTGTGTGTGTGCGTGTGTGCGTGCGTGGTAGGACGAGTGGGACATGGGGTGAGTGAGTTCGTGCCATTTGCGTGGAACACAGGCAGCCCTTCAAAATCATCCCTCAGCGCATTGCTATCAGGTGTAGCTGCCTCGTCGTCGTCGCTGGGCTGGCGTATGGTATCCCACCCAAATGAGCTTACGACCTGAGTGGGGATGTCCTGCTATGGAGGAAAATGGGTCACATTGTAGCTACAGGCGATAATTCTGGGGATGACTTCATTGCCAAGGCTTTATCTTGCTAGCAATAAGTGGTCGGTACCATATCATGAATGTATATAAAGTTTTTAGTACGTATTCGAGGACCGTGGGGACTCACCTATATTTCGAATATACTTCAAACCCAATTTAAGAGTCAAAATCAGCAGTTTGGAATAAGGTATCTATACTGAAAGTTCTGTATGTGTGGGTATACTCTCGTACTCCTCTTGGCAGATCGCACTACCAAAACTCAATAACGTAGTATGTATAGCTGTGCGGGTTCAAATATAAAATCACGATGTACTCCGATAGCTCTAAAATCAAACTACAGCATTTGGCAACTAAGTTAACAAGTACTTATGACATAAATATTGCACGCGTGCAAAACGGTCTTGCCTTGATAATTAAGTGCCTATAATGAAATTACAATATATGTGCCTTTGATAAACCCTTGAAAAATAATGTCCGTGCCTTTGATAATTTAGATTTTGTCCTCCACTTAAAAAGGCTGTCTTTTCGCTCAGATAACACCATCAAACATCAATAAGGATTCAGTATTTTAGGGTTTTAGGGTTCTAGATAAGGTACTATGTTAAACAGCTTGCACACCTCATTGTCCGAATCACTGAGACCCAACACTATAGAATCTTCCCATGGCACTTGATTGAGTGGGAACAAATCGGAACCATTCCAACCACCTTGAACACTATATTCCTGGCCAAAACTCAATAGATATCTATGCTCGCCTTGATCATTGCTGGTAGTGAGGAAGAACAAATGTACGAAGAGTGAAGGTGGCATCATGACAATCAGCTTGCGATTCAAAACCAGTCTGACGCAATATTAGACCAATGTTCACGAGTACATGTTTTAGGGTTTAGGGTTTTAGTCGGAGTACATGTGGGTTGTGAGGTGTATACGTCTAACCTGTGGCATATATTCTTTCCGCTTTTGTATTTTGTATCACATCGTTGCAAAGACGTAAAGTGTCATAAAACCAACCTGCGCCCATTCGGAACATTTGACGGGTCGACCCCACCGTGCGTGCTGCTCTGGGCATCGATGCACCTGCCTTCGTCAGTGGTGAACCCATCAGCGCTCTCCTCCGATACGGCTGCCCCATTGGCCCCGTATTCGGCTCCTAATCCTTCAGCACTGTGGTGCACATAGTCTGATTCAGTCGCCTTAGCACATCCCCGTGTATGTGCATGTGCCCGTGTATCCTGTGTCCGTTGTAGGGCAGGTGTGCACTTGTTTCTCGCACCAACAGTCGTCCTATGTTGCGCTGCTGGCACACGAATATGCTTCGCATCAGTAGGATCGGTTGGGGCGCTGTTTGCTGCACCCAGTGGGCCTGCCGCCTCTTGCGCTGGTGCTGAGTCTGCGGATGGCCATGCAGGTGTAGTGCCCAGTGACTGCGTGGGGTTTCGGTGGTCTATTGACTGTCGAGTGAGCGCACACTCGCCATCGCTTATCCAGGAGTTGCTCGCCTCATCCCCATCGGTGGCTGGGGTTTTAGGGTTTATCTCGGTGGTGCATGGTGGTGCGGTGATGAGAGTGTGTTTGTGTGTGTGCACTGCCGTGTTGCATGGCAGGAGAAGATGCTGCGGCGTGCGCGTGTGGACGACGTCGTGCGGTGGCACACGTACGAGTACTTCCACATCATAGAACGACTCTGTTTGGTCTACCGACGGGCGTACGATGGGTCGCACCTATTGAGTATTTTTGGTCTGTTGATAAGCACCTACATGTCGTATAGTGTGTCTACACTCAATGAACATAGTTGTACTAAAATCAGCTACATACACGCAGGCATTTTCAACTTTAAACAAATAGCTTTTTTTTTATAGGGTTTCATATTTGTCATCATATCCATCCAGTGACTACATTTAACTTACAGACGCCCTACTATCCGTGCGTATTAGTTATACATAAGTAACAGTTGAACATAGGCGGCAAGTGGCATTTGTATGCTTTGATCATCCAGGCGCCAGGCCTTTGTCCTTGCTTGTGAATCGCTCACTAATTCGTGATGTAATTATTGTATAAACGCACTCATTTAGCTCAGCGGAATTTAGGGTTTTATGGTTTCGATATTCGGCATGTGACACACCATGGACACCACACTCGACCTACGTATGTGGCCCAACCAATCTACTCAGCGTTTAGGGTTTAGGTTTATTAATCTTCTACTCTACACTCGTGGACCACATCAGATATGTGAATGCACTTCAGCAGTTACCAGTCACCCGGGTGCTGGCACTGCCCACTGGGCAACACAGACACGTGAAACGATGGTAGCACGCACAGAACGCCTTGAGACTACATGCACAGAGTGCACCGGAACGACTCAGACGGATACCAAAATGTGACACTAACCTATACCACATATTATATTCAGAATTAAGACATCCATATACCTTGGACCGCATAGTGTGCGTGCGAATGACATATTGAGATTCATTCGGTTTCGAAAGATCGTTGATTGTTTTCACGAGTTCAGCCAGGGCACGGAGCTTAGCTTCTCGCTTAGGCATCCTGACGCTTTAAATATTTATTGAGAGGAGCACATTATGCTGATTAGGGATGGAGGTATACCCACTCATACATATATATATATATATTATTATACATATACATATATAT